AATATTCTAGGATCTTAACCATAATATTTAAATTGTTTAAATAAATGTAGACAACAAATACTATTATAAGATCACAACCTTTATAAATGCATTTGTCTGGTACATTTATATAATCAATTGGCTGGCACTGTCAAAAACTTGTAATAAATAATATCAGAAGACTTTAAATGTTAAGTTAGGAAATAAATTGCTAATTTTTGTACAAAAATGATATCAAAGGATCCTTAACTCTTACATTTAATTTAGTCAAGAAAATTATTGTTTTATATATAATATTGTAAGTACCTAAACATAATATTTAAATTAGAGAAGTGCCTGTATGTAATAGAGTATATTATGGGATTTTAATCTCAATATTTAGTTCGGTAAATTTGTGTTTCATAAATTATATTGTAGGATCTTAACCCTAATATTTAAAATCAGTCAGGTCATTTTTATAGTAAATAATATTATAGGACCCTAAACATAATTTTATTTTAAACACTTAAATGTATATTAATATTTATTTTATAGGATCTTAATGTTGTGTATAGCATTGTGGGGTCTTAACTTCAATATTTAAGTTGGCCAGATAAATTAGTGTTTTGTGTATTGTTCTGTAGGTTCAACATCAGTCATTTTAAATGTGGTATATTAATCACTGTGACTTGACTTCTTTATTCAAGAACCCTTCAAAAGATGGTATTAAAGCCAGTTTTCTATACTTTGATGAAGTTGCAGCTCCTCTGTGTTTGTGCGGACACACCCTGGTCTCCTCTGCACAGACAGCAGGTGGCAGCATCACCGTTCACAGGTTCACATCAGGACATGGATCCATGTTGTGTTGATCAAGCTGTTGCTTGGCAACCTTTGTATAGAAATGACAGAGCTGCACCAGGCTGCAGCGGCCGGCGATTACGATCAAGTCGAGGAGATTCTGAAGCAAAATAGATGCAACCCCAACCAGAGAGACATCGACTGGAGCTGCAAGACGCCTCTTCACTGGGCAGCAGCTAAAGGTAGGTGGAGGTTTACTGTGTCTCCGTCCTCTGCTACACCTGCAGGGTTTGGATTTCTGTAGTCTCAAGTTGCACCGGTCCTCTTTCAAATGTTGTTTTGCAGACTTTAAGTTTTAAAAAATGTGCCACAGGAAACTGAATTTGAATGATTTAGATTTGAATTTGTGAATAAACCTTTTTTTTCTCTTTGTGCTTTGGGTTGAAACACCAGAAAATACCAAAACCATGAATTTAGGAGCCATTCAGTAACTGTGTGTTTAGAACAGGGTTGAACAAGTGTAACAATCACATTTGCAAATATTGTGATAGTAATATGAACCACAATTTAATGCAAATAGTAATTTCTTTCCCCCTGAATAATGTGTAAACATGATGATTTGATATTTGCTGCCATCTTTACCAGACAAGCGAGTTCTCTTATGTTGGAAGAACATGATTTGTGCTGTATTCATAATATGTGGTGACACATTTTACCTTTATTACTAAATCATAGCTCCTTGCCCGTGAGCATATTGCAATTTCACTAATGTTTTTGATACTTTTTTTTTTTTTTAGCCCTGCCAATAAATTAGTCGCTGATTGGTTCTATTCTCTCTAACATTTAATCATCACAAATTCTCAGACTCCAGTGTCATGTTCAGGTGTCTCGTGTTGCTTGACCAACAGGCCAGAACCAAAATACAATCAATTTATAATCATGGAAAGCAGAGAATGCAAGAAACTCATCATTTTTGTGTCTTTGAGTTCATTCATTGCAGGATTAAAATAGAGTTCCTATCTTTGGTAAACACAGTTTTTCAAATTCTTAAAAAAAAAAAATCAATTCAAACTTGCTTATTGGTTAAAAGGTTAACACTGGCACCAAATTACTATTTAGATTTTTGTCTTCCAAGCTATTTTACTGGTTTATTTGTTGGAATATGTAGGGTCTTGCAGTAGGAATTTACCTTAACCACTGTAGATAATCATTAGTTTTTCGAGTAGGCTAGGTTAAAACGTCTTCTTAAATACACGTGTGGGCTCAGACCGTGATGCCTTTTTTTCAACAGGACACACAGAAACAGTCAGGATCCTCATAGAACATGGAGCCAGGCCCTGTCTGAGGACGGAGCACGGCTGGACGGCTGCACATTTCGCTGCAGAGTCCGGCCGGCTGGCTGTCCTCCGGCTGCTGCACTCCCTCCACGCGCCCATAGACAAGCAGGACTGCTGCGGAGACAAACCAGTGCGGATAGCCGAAATATACGGACACCAAGACTGCGTTAAGTTCCTCAAAAAGTACGACACAACTCGCAGTTCTCCCATTCTTCTTATTTTAATACAACAACCAATATAGGATCTCTTACATGATAAAGAAATGTCTTTGTGTGTTGCAGAGCAGAGGCTGAGAGCCAGACCTACCGCAAGACAGCAGCCCAGAAAGGGATTTCAGTGGATGACACAGATGAGGAGTGGGCAGAAGAGGGCAAAGAAAATGAAGACAAAAGCATCTCTAAAGGCAACATACAGACTTAGGCTTGAACCACCTTTACATTACAATAACTTGTGTAACTTAGAAACATGTAGCATTGCTTAAATCCCAGTTCTTTAGCATGTATACGTGATTTTAAGGCAGCAAACAGACAAACTGTGATATGCACAGAACAAATATTACAGTAAATTTAACTGGTCTCACTGGGAGTGAACAGAAATAAACAACAGAAACAATCAAGATTAAAGTTATTATATTTGATTTTATGTGTAAAGTGCATGTTTTTTTGATTTTCACTTCTTCACTGACGAGTCTAACTTCACGGCGCTGCTGCTGGTGGATACTGGAGCCTGGAGAGCAGAAAGAGGGGAAAAAGATTTGTTAAATTAATCAGTTGTCATCATGTTTTACAAATGAGTGAATCTGCTCATATTGTGCTTACGTTTCTCTTGAAGCGTTTGAGCAGCGCGTCACGGGTCTGTCAAAATTACAATAAACTGGATGTAAGTTGTTAGTAACTATAAATGACATTAAAACATGTTGAATTCCATAGAAACAAGCTGAGGACAGTGAGCGCCGTTATTGACAGCTCCTCAGTTGTTTAATAAGTCCTGATTCTTTTCATTAGCGAGTCAATCCTCTGAATCTTGAGAAGTTTCAAGGCTTTTTTTTTTCTTTGTTTTTGTCACATTTTTACTCACTGTACACTCATTTTTCGCTGCAATATAAAGTCCTGCACCTCTATGGAGGCAGAGCATCCATGAATAGAAGTAGAAGGAACTCAAAAATGTATTTTGTGCAGTTATGATGCCATTCATCGTAAAAAACAAACAAAAAAAAAGTCGAATTTCTTTGTTTTGTTATCTAAATAAAAATGAAAAATACTTAGAATCCTTTTAAGCACAGTTTTTCCAATAAACCGTAGCTCCACATACTGTAGATATTTCACTGCTTTCATTTTTAATTTCCTCGTCTCATATCTAGTCCGTGTAAACACTGCCTGCAGAATTTTTGTACCGTGATGGTCGTTTACAGTCACTAATGGCTTCACGGTAGCACCAAGGAGCAGACATTTTTAAATGAGACATGTAGAATAAAATATCACGATTGTTAGGCTGGGAATTGGTGAAGTTTTCAGAAGAGCGAGGAGTTCAAGGGCAGTTCAGGGAAGCTGAAAATCTGGAGATACTTTCTGATTTGTAGTTTTTGGCTCTGCTAAATGATGAGTGATTTAAAAAAAAAGTTATCATGCCCTTTGAACCAGCTGGCAGATTTTGAGGTTCAGAAGGTTAAATCTGGTGATGTATCGGGATTTTTATTTTTATCAAACGTTTAACAGACTTGAAACATCGCACAACACCTTATTGATCCTGAAACACAAGGTGCACTGTGATTGTTTGGCATTTTTTCTTACGAGGTTAAACTATCTTACCATTTTGTCCCCCAGACATGTGGTCAACAAAATGAACAACCCCTAGAAATGAAAGGCAGAATTCTGTCAGCAAACACAGCAGATGTTGAATAAGATCAGATGGATATTTGTTATTGATCGTACCTGGAATGCGTTCGTCAGGGTGAATGCGTAGTTGACTAAGTAAGCAATGGTACCAGATGTGAGGTCAAGATACAACACAGCGAATCCAAAAATCCACGTCACGCCGAAGATTGGAGTCAGAAGAACAACTGACCTCAAGACAGTTTTGGCAGCTGCTTTCTCTTTATTGTGAGATTTCTCCATGTTCTCTTGGTGATACAAAAGCTTCATGATTACCACCAGCATGGAGAAGATGTTGATGAAGATGATTATGCCAACCGGAATGATAAATGTGTGAATGGACCCCTCCATGAGTCCGACATAGATCAGCCAACAGGTGTCTCTGGAGTAGTAAACCTGCTCAGCGCCGGCTCTGTAGGTAAGAAACGTGACAAAGACGATGAGGCAAGGACAGGCGTAGCCTAAGATGAACGAGAACCTCAGGTAGTTTGTCCTGCTCACTTGATGGAACAGGTAAAGTGCTTGGTGGAGAAGCGTGGTGCTCAGACACAGCATCCAGAAGAACATGGACAGGTAGCAGAAATGCTTCAGCACTGTGACGGTTTTACACCAAATCGTTGATACATCCTTCGGCTTAGTGGACGCCAGAAAACAGCAATCTGCCACCAGCAAACACAGAGAGATGTTCACGTGGGCAGTGTGGCGCAAATGTAAAGTATTTGTCTTGACTACGTCGCCCCAGACGACCAGTTCTATCATGAGGCCGATAATGAGAGACATGACTGATACGGACAACCCGACGTAGGTTATCTGAGTCAAGCCGTAGACTTCTATGGGATATCTGGACATAAGAATCGCAAACGAGGACAAATGCTTGCAGGTGCAGCGTCCTTCATTAGCGGGTCCCGCCCATTCGCACCCATCTGGAGACCACCGTCGGCTTTGGCTGTCCCAGGAGACGCACTGTATCTGAACATGGCGAGGCCTCGTATTTGTGAGCTGGAAGTCGATTGTAATGGTAACCTGATCCTTGTTTCTGTCTGTAGTTGTCGACACAACAATGCTATTGGGTGTAACCTCGCTGCTCTGGTTCTCGTAGGGCAGGTACCTCTCCAGCTGTCTGAATCCAGTTGTTTTCACTGTGCCGTTGCCTGAACTTTTAAGAGTGACGTTTACGTTGAACACCGAGTTTGTACACGAGTCTTCGTCGCTGCATGTAACGACCTCTACGTTTGGCTTTTTGCTGTCTTTCGTTACGTTTGCCTTCTCGATTAATTGCTCAACGGAACTCAGATATTCCTCAGCCAGCGTTAAGCTGGTTTCAGAAGTTGATGTGTTCCAGATTTCTTCAAGAGAAATTTCCAGCAAATTGCTGGAGGATTCCAGAAAGTCCTGAAAAGAAGGAGAGGAATGTCAGTTAAATCAAGTTTTTAAAAATCTTTTTAACGTGTCTATATATTGTTTATGTATGCTAGAAGACATATCGGACTGCTGAAGCTTATGGGGAATCCAAATGTTTTGGATTGTTGGGTGTTTCTGTCTCTGCCTTTATGAAGCGCTATGAGATGACTTGTTGTTGTTAATATGCGCTGTACAAATAAAATTGAATTGAATTGACTATCATGAGCGAAATTAATTTGGCTGAGCATTTCCACCCAGAAAACCACAAATGACTTTACCAAAAACACACATTCAGATTTCCTGGTTTTCATACATAACAAACCCAAGTAACAAATCGGTTTCCGGCTCAAACATGTACAAGTGCTTCTTAAACAATATGTACATCGTGAAAAAGGTTCATATTTTCCATCTGTTATAGTGAACATTTGTTATATTCTACACTCATTACATGTAAAATAAAATGTTTCAGGCATGTTTCTAGTTTGATTTTGCGAATTAAGGTTAAAAACCATCAATAAAAAATCCTAAAATATGAAAATATTTCATTTTGAATTAGAGTAAATCATTTTTTCAATTGATCTGATAAGAAATATTCTAATAATTTGAGATTGTGATTTCTGATTTTCATGACCTATAAGCCAATTAATCACAATTGTAAACCCCCAAAAAAGGCTTGAAATATTTCATTTCACATACAATGACAGTAGAACATATGAAAATGTAGCCCTTTGAATTAAATTATTTGAATAGTTTGAGACGCACCAATGTGCACTCATATATTACTCCAACATCGCAACTTGCCATTGTGCAGCACAGAGTAGTTTTCAAGACAGCAGCAGCAGCAGTAAATGTTTGTGTTAGTTGTAACTTGCAGGCATAACATGCTGTAAAACAAGTGAACAGCAAGTCTCTAAGACTCCTGTACATTAAGAGGACATTCATGAATGTAATTAAATACCTTAAATAGTATCAAAATACGATTTCATTTTAGAAAAACCTGAAGGTTTGAAGGTTTTATAGATAGTCAAACATTCTGTGACACTTACATTTGTTACTGATTCTTCCATTATTTTTTTTAGCTTTTCATTCAAGGTGCTGAGGACAGAAACTGATGTGTTCATGTTGGCAAAAGAGTTGATAGCCTCGGTGTTGTTAGTGCTGTTCTTAAAGCTGGAAAACACATCTGCAGCATTTTTATCAAGGTTGCCTCGTCCACTGTCAGCGATCTGTAGTGAACAGTGAAGAGTTACTGGGGATGATTAAATGCATCAGTCATTGGTTTTAATCAAACAGAGGGGCCTGACTATTTCATATTTAAGGGGAGACACGGCTGGAGAACAGGGCCAAATGTTAACAATGCATGTCAGAAAAACCTCACATTTAAACATTTAAACCACAGGAAACTTTAGCCTTTTGCGTCACATTCTGCTAATGTGGATTAGTTCAGTATGAGTTACTTTCAAACGATGGAGATCTTATTTTGCAACGTCAGTAATGAAAGTTCGGCTTACTTGTGCATTTTCCAGATTATCCGCAAGGTTCAAGTTCACACAATTTAAAATCTCTGCTTCCCAATTCCCGTCCGACCTAAATGGATTAATCGATTGACAAACATGAATCACAAACAAAAATAATTAACCAATAATTGTGAACAATTTTCAAAATTTAAAATGCGTGAAATGAATCTTTTCTGTTCATCATACTGAATAACTGCAAGTTTTCTTTGTGTCCTGCAACAGTTTCAGGACATTTATAAGCATTTTTCACTATTTTGGGACAATCTGTAAATCAAGCCATTGAAAAAGAACTGGCAGATTATCATTATTACTATTATTTTAATGATCATTAGTTGCAGTCTTACTTGCATTTCCTTCGTCTTAGTCCAGCTGCATCTTTGCATTTTAACTCTGCAGTAAAACCAGGTTTGGTTTCTGGCCATTCACCTTCAGCTTTACAAAACTTCTCATTTGCTGTTTGGGAGAAGAACAGTTCCTAATTACCTCCAGAAACAAAAACTATTCATCCAAAGCAAACTTCAAGACAACAAGAAGTTAAATGGAAATTCTGTTGCATAATTACACAAACATCAGCTTTGTCCAACATCACTCTATTCTTATTGTGAATCACTTACTTGCCTTTTAGCAAAAAACAAAACAAAACAAAACAAAACTCTGAATAACCCTAAAATTTCCTCCCTTTTTTTCACATTAAAAGACTGTTGAAACACATTCTCAAGCTTATAGTAATTTCACAAATGGTACCTTTTTACTTAATAAATGGAAAGTTCAAGAGTAATACTGTGGATATATCAGTCTCTTATTGGTCATTTAATGGGTCTTCAGTTGTTTTGGATCTATTTGTGTTCATTTGTTGTTGTTTTTATTCTCTTTGTGTTTTGTACGCGGCTCTTTGTGGCTGTTCTGTCCTTGTGTCTTTGTGGTTGTTTAGCTGAGGGTTAATATTTCTTGCCAGCTATCCCTTTAAACCGAGGCTCTGGATCGGGGGCCCCTGGACTCTTTGGGTCCCTGAGCCTGTTCCCTGATCATCAGCAGACACATAGAAGCTGTTTCATTTTTACATGCTTTTCAAAGGTAAATCGTTGTTGTTGGGTTTTTAGTTAAAAGTAATACTGATATATGATTATTATTACCATTGTGGGATTATTTGAGGTCAACATAGTGTAGAAGTTTCACAATAACAACTTGAACATCCAAACAAAAAAAAAATGTATGTATTGGGAGAAAACATGGAGAGATGTTGGACAATGGCACTATTTCCAGACGATATTATAACTGCTACTAAAACATACCGTATATGACGTAGATGCTAACGCTGGCAGGTTTCTGTTGGTCGCATCTGTTCTTAAATGTGCACACCAGTTCTGCAGGTTCAGAGCTGTTGGTACAGCTCACTATTGTTTCAGCTGTAAAGACTCCTGTTTCATTATCTGCGAGGATCAAACATGCGTGTTCTTGGAACAATTTTGCACGAGGATTCATTTGAAATCGACTGGCAAAGAAGGAAAATGAGCTTACTCTCATTTGATGAAAGCACGTCACCTGTCCAGGTCACGTTATAAGGCTCACTGCTCTTCCTTATCTCACATCTGGCAGCTGCTTTCACAAAATCGTCACCGGGTTTACAACGCGGAAAAGGCGGCTCGGTGGAGACGTGGATGTTTGGCAGGAGGCAAACATCCAGGGTAGCGCTGGCTTTGTGCAATATGGTGAAGCCATCGCGCTGGTAGTAGTACTTACATGTGTAATTTCCTTAAAAAACACACACACACACACACACACAAATACAGTCGTGACTCGATAATCAGAATCTAAATGTAAAACCTTCTTTTATGTCGGATAGCAAGGCTGTCGGATTGTCAAGACGGAGGTCGAGATACGAGGAGGGCTTGATGCTTGAAGGCTCATTTTTTTGTTAATATTGTTTATCGTTGTTATAATAACTAGTGTGTTGTTAGAACACTACGCATCGCTGGATTTCACACCTAACTGACCGGTGTGCACGTTCCGGCCAATTCCACCCCATCAGAGCAAACCCCCGGTGTGGAAGTGGCCGGAACGCACAGGCAGTACTTGACTGCTGATGCCAGTTTAGTTAGTGGTTACAGTTCTGTTTCTACCATCGTTGGCGGGGGAGTGGCGGACACGCTCCACCGTTAACATCTCTGTTTATTTCCGCAAACACTGAGCGCGCTTGCTGAGTGTGATGTTGGTCATCAATCATGACACCAAAGTTTCTGGCAGATTTTGTGGGTTTGAGCTGGGTTGAATCAAGCTGGAGGTTGATTTGTTGTTGTAGAGAGGGACTGGCTGGGATGACGAGGAGCTCAGTCTTAGAGAGGTTGCCGTGATGTCTGCAAGACATGATGAGATCCGGGCAGAGACCGGGTGGTCGTCCGGGGGGAAATGACAGGAAGAGCTGGGTATCATCGGCAACATTTACCCAGCTAACACTGCTCTAACTCCTTTGTCCTGCACTTCAGCTTTAACAGAAAACAATAGAATTTTTTTGGCAGCAGAAACAAGCTGTGAAAACAAAACTGACAGAATGGTTGAGTTTTCAGGTGTTGCTTCCATTGTTGTGAAGCTCTGACTACATAAACAGAATTCTTGTTGGCTTACAAGAAAATGTGTGGGACACCTTTAGCGGATTGCCTCATTCAGATCCTGGTTCCTCTGATTTAGTATCAACATTCTAGAAGGATTTGGGTTTACACTGGATGCTAAGTGTCCACAGTGGAAAATAAATGTGTTTCGTTAGATGAGAAGAGATTACTGTTTGTTTGTTTTTTTTGCCTTTATTTGACAGGACAGCAGACAGTGAGACAGGAAAGTGGGGAGAAGAATGAGGGAAAGACCTGCAGCAAATGGCCATGGGCTGGACTCGAACCCACGACTGCTGCGTCGGGGACCACAGCCCAGGCACGTGGGTCGCCAGCTCAACCGGTTGAGCCACAGCGGCGGCCCTGAGATTATTTTTCTAAAATAACTTTTAGCGTCTAACCAGGTCTGATTATAGTTTTCGGATAAATGCAGGAGAAGTGCAACATTTCTCTCCTAAATGCAGTGAAGTCACATAAACTGTACAAGTGCCTCAACATCGCTCTTAAATACACAGCTTACCTAAATGTGCTTCGGGCTGAATGTGTCTAAAATGTAAATACAGCTGCAGAAATAAATACCTTTCCAGATTTCAGACACTCCTGTGAGCTTGATGGTGGTCTGCTTTGGGGGTGACGTCACTGTTGCGACTGTGCCGTTAGTTATGTCAAATATTCCGTCTGGGCTTTCCAGAGTCCACTTTGGCGTGACCACCAGGTCCTCGTGTGCTATGCACGTGAAGTTAGTGCTGCCGTTATAACGCACAGGTCTGGTCTCCATGTGTATATGAACAACACCTTAAAAATGAAGAGCTGGATTAGTGTAGAAATCACAAATACTGACACAAATCACTTCAACTTCATCCTGGATTAAATGTTTTGCACGTCTGGGAGAGACATTAACTTCAAAAAGGTGCCCAGTATTCACTCTGGGTCTGTTAAATGTTGGTGTTGGTTTGAAAAGTGAAGAAATTACAACTTTGAGATGCTAGCAGGTAGCTCGTATATAAATGGGAAAAGATGTAGTCATTGTGGCTGCTAGTGGTGCTAAGAGGTCATGCATGTCGTTAGGATTCGACCTCTGGGCACCATGAATGTCCATGCAGAATTTTTTTATGGCAATTTATGCGAGAGCAGCAGCAGCGATATTTCAGTATATGGCGGATAAAGCAACTGTCGTTCTACGGAGGGGAGTTCAGCACAAGGACTTCATGTCATTTGTGTTAAATTAAAGAGCAGATGACACTTAATCCTAACATCCATCACCGCGTTTCCAAATATACCTGCAGTCTCCAACTCAAGCGACGCTGGCAGGATGGTGCTCAAGTTTCCCGTTTTTTCAATCAGATCATTTGAAATGATCCGGTCAGCAAAGTTCATTTCAAAATCTGCAATGATGCTTCCAATCCTGAAATGGAAACAAATCAAATAGTCAGTCACATGTTGAACACAGGTAGCAGTAAAACAAGATTTTATTTGTAACACGTTTTGTTTGGAGCTGTTGTAACAGTGAACTAAGGGATCAATAAAGTTATCTTTATCTTTATTTACCTGTATTCTGTAATTGTTAAGATGTCAAATCCCCTTAAAGTGCTGAACACTTTTTTCATCTAAAATATAACAAAAGACAATGATTACTCCTGAATATTAATTAAGCAATGTGCTGTTTGTTAATAAACACTTGTTTGTTTTTACCTCTGTTGACAAATTCCTATTACATTCCTCGTATTTGACAGAAGTCTTTTTTGTCACACAGCTTTGATACTTCTCTCCCTTCAGAGTAGCAGATCCTGAAACGACAACTGCAAAGAGAAAGAAAAAACTGGCATGTTTTCATGCTTGATGAAGGAAAATGCACATTTTTTTGTGAACATGTGTATCAACCCAAAAAAAGGGGAGCAAAACTACCAATAATGTCCACATCAAAAAAATAAAAATAAAATTATTATTATGTTTGATCATAAACATTTTCAGTGTTTTTAAATCAGCAACGAAAAAATGGTTTTACAGACATTTGGTTTTACGCATTTTAAATACTGAAAAATGGTTAAATATATTTTTTAAGCTGCTACTTTGCAGGTTTTTCCTGTTCTGTTAAATTACATGTGATATCAGGTAACATCACAGAACAAGAGAAAGGATGATTGATTTATATTTTAACTGGAGAAGAAGAAAAAAACAGGCCACAACTTTAACAAATCTACATTTTCATAAATGCTTATTTCTTCTTTTACAACCACAAAACTGTTT